TGCTTAAGATTATCATATAGCAGTAATGCTAAGCCAAGATAAATATAATTAGCTAACTTGCTTTTAAAGTCGTTAGAAATACTCACTTTCGGTGCTAGAACTTTTTTCCATGCATCGCTTCTCTGTGTATATCAAAGACAATTTAATCTGATAGACTTATAGTGTAGACTTTTAAATTCACCGCAATATAACGGATTTAAACTTTCATACAATAATTTATAAAGCTTATTTATAATTCGTATGTAATTGTACTTTTTAAATTAGTGTATTTATAATAATTTCTATTTTCATAACAATAGTGTCAATAAGTAAGCGTTAAAATTGTAGAATTATTTGTATAAAATAACGTTTAATTTACTATGTGGCGTACAGATGTAATATTGTTTCATATACGCTATTAGAATTAAATGGAAATATGTTTATAAATTTGTCTGTGCAATCAAAATAAAATGGAATCATTTATTGTCTTATTACTCGTATGACAAATGAATTCATAACATTTTTGTCGGTTATAGTCTTTGTAGTAAGTGATTTGTTAAAACATGATGATACATCCAAATTATTTTCTTTGTTCGTGGTCAATAAAACAAAAAAGGATGTTTGTAAAATTTTTTATAAACTTAGAACAGCATTGTTTATTAATGTCAAAATTGTGTTTGATAGAGAAAAATGTTCATAATAGGAGTTATGTGACTATTTGATTTACTACTTAGATTAGTTTAATATTCTTTTGTTATGATTTTATAGACTATATTTATAATCTCTGTCCGAAATGTATTCAACAAATAATATTTCATGCAGAATACAAGTAATATGGTACGGTACTGTTTCACTATTTTTATATAGTTCTGCAATGAAGTAATTAATAGATCATAATTTAATTTATAATTCGTATCATTAATATTATTAATAATAATTAAGAATTATTAACTTTTGTGTAATTAATTATATTATTTCAGTTTCTAATAAATTAATAAAATATCCGATGTTACCAAACATGTAAACGAATTAGAAGCATTGAAACATAGATTGAATAATTTATTAGATTTAAAGTTACTTCAGAAATAATTTCTTCTTCATTCGGATATATTAATTTATATACCTGATTGACATTGTTATAAATAGTGAAAATTAATATACTCATAGGATATACATTAAGCGCAAAAAATTATTAAATAATTAACTTTATTATAATTAATAAATTGAATTACTTAAGACTTAATGTTTGAAATTATTCTATAAAAAGTGTAGTAAAACGACTTCTTTTTGTTCTTCAATAACATAAATCAATATTAATAAATAATTCATAATCAATAAATACATAAACAAATATCAATAAAATAAACAATTATTACAAAGCTAGGTGTTATATCTTTTTGTATTGAAAAGATCTATATATTAATACGTATATAATTATTGTTATTCTGCTTTCTAAGTTTACTCATCTAAAATTAATATCATATATCCAAAAGAAATCTTAATTTCTTATATCGAGTATTTCTTTTATAATTGTAAAATACTTTATTTTATCATAAATAACATAATTATAATAATAAATCTTAAGATAAATATTTATTAAAATAATTTTAGTATATTCATAAATCTATGGGTTAATAGATTTTATGTGAAAAATAGAAAAAATCATCATTTAATTAATACAAATATCATTTAAATTATAAAGTTATAATGATATTCATTTAACATTCTATTTACTATACTTCCATTTTTAACATAAAATATTTATTACAATAAGATTGTGTATAGTAATTTATATTGCTTTTTTTATTTTTCAAACAAATATTAAAAATGTAATAAACATTGAATTATCTAGACATATGTAGTTAATAATTATTATAATATACTTTAGTAAGTTACAAATATTTATTAATAAAAAAAAAAGTAATATAATATAAAATATTATACGAATAAAAAATATATATTATCAATATGGCAATAGTTAAAACACAACGTTAAAGTGAAATAGAAAAAAAATGACGACGGTAATTCGCCTAAATCTAGACTTTCGCAATTCACATTGTTTTCGGCTCAAGATGTGATATTCGAGCCAAATTTGATAGCTAATTAGCTGCAACATCAGCAGTCAACGCAGAAAAATGAAAAATTGAACAACGAATTATAAATTGATAGAATCCGAAGAAACGAAAGCAATAGTAGTAATTAGTAGCTAATTGAAAACTGCAGATGGCCCGAATACCAAAATTTTGTGAAAACAATGTTGAGTGAAACTGGAAAGAAGAAGAGCGTTGAAAATTTTAAGTCAGAATAGATGGATAAAAAGAAAACCAGATCCAAATATTATAAATATATTCTGATTCAAAGCCAAAAATAATAATCACTTAGAGGTGTACATTAGTATTTCTCGCATTATGTGCTGATTCTGTATAAAAAAAGATAAATATTTAGTAAGTGTTGGAGATTTTTATGTTTGAATTATCAATTCTTACTTTAATGCTTAAAGTATTTCAATATCTCATGTTCTTCATTTTATGGTCATTATTACATGGTCATACTTTAAATTATATATAATAATACATATATAACAATATTATGTTTCCAATATATTTTTAAATAAATTAAATGACAGAAATAAAACATATTTTATATTTATAATTAATGTTAAATTATATTTTTATGTAAAAACTTTTATAATCTAAACCTTTAAGTAAAATACATCGATGATAATTTTATATCATAAACAGAATAAATGTATTGTTTTTTTTATATACTTTTATATATTGATGAAATTATTTTAATATCAAATGATTTAATTATAAATACTTAATGCTACAGAATTTATTTACCTTTGAAATTACGATATAAATGTAATTTTAATTTATCAGAATATAATATGCCTACCATTATTCCATGATTCATTCTATATGATATTTATATAATTTATGCCATATATTCTTTTATATTTATTATAATATAGACTATTGGAAATTTTAGTCTTAGTTCGAAAAAATATATAAGTAACGTCAATTTTTCTAAATAATCATTTTACACATTTTTGTTCTCGATCGTTTCAAATTTTCTGCTTATATGTGACTATAATGAAACTATTCAAATAAATTAGTATAGTTGTAATAATCAAGTTATTATATAAAAATATACAATAGTTATTAAAGAATATTTAAATTTGTAAAGAAAATTAAAAGAGAATTCCAAATAAATTATGCACACCTGTTGTATTACTTATAATTGATATTTCTCTAAATAGACTGTTATTTGTAGAATTTAATAAAATTTTGCATCATTTCAATATACAGTAATATAAACATTTATAATAAATAGAATTAAAGACGAGTAATGGTGATTTTATAGTAAGCAATTAGCAGAAAAATAGAAAATAAAAGACAGGCACATTTGATAAGCGGGGTTCGTTTACTCGTTCGAGAAGAACATTAAGAAATTGCTTCACGTACGGGTCTTTTAAGCTTCAAAATTGAAGCTTTCTCTGTTTCGCAGTCACGTTATGCCCATTTCCACTTACGATCCTAGATGATCGTAAATAAAAAGAGCTTTCCATTTCCGAGGACGTTGCATCGTATAGTACTTGCGCAAGGATATAGTGAACATAAATATACCTAAAACCTAAAACATGAGACTACGGCAATTACGTAGAATAAGTTTTTTTTTCGAAAAAGTGTTTGAAATCACTTCATAAAAGTACTTGAACAAATCTCGACAATTTAATAATGAATGACATATATTTCATTACATAATAATGCTCGAAGAACGACCAATAATTCACATGCACTGTTGGTTAACGATCTGAGTGTAGAAAAACACATTATTAATGGCTAAGAGACAGACAAAGACGAAAGTGCGATAGAAGAGAGAACTATAAAATTCATTTATGGCAGTTGTGCCAAGAATGCAGTGAACGCTGACAAAATCGTTTACTAACTCTCTCTCTCTCTCTATCTATCTATCTATCTCTCTTTTTTACCCTCCCTCTTTCTTTCATCTCTTCTGAATGAAGACAAAGAGTAAAGTCCGTAAGGAACAGAGAAAACGCAGATAGGATCTGAAATTTCATGTTACTGCTTTAAACCACAGTGAATTTAAGTTTGTAAGGATCTGTGATACTTTTTTCATTTTTTTTTTTTTTTTAATAAAAATGGTTTAATTCTTATTCAATGGAAGATGAAGAAATCATTAAGATTGCACTCATACATTCGCGGTTTTTAAATAGACAGGAATATAGAAATTTAATTTAATTCTCAACAGTCATGAGCAGTAGATGTCTACTTTAGCTTATAATCTTTAGTTATAATAATAATAATAATAATAATATTAATAGTAGTAGTATTAGTAGTAGTATTAGTAGTAGTAGTAGTAGTAGTAGTAGTAGTAGTAGTAGTAGTAGTAGTAGTAGTAGTAGTAGTAGTAGTAGTAGTAGTAGTAGTAGTAGTAGTAGTAGTAGTAGTAGTAGTAGTAGTAGTAGTAGTAGTAGTAGTAGTAGTAGTAGTAGTAGTAGTAATAGTATGGGGGCGTCAGACCGCAACTTTCGGTATTAAAAGCGAATGTACTGCAAACAAGAACCTATCAACATAGCGCTACGAGCGATCTGTCGGCACGTCACTTTTGCGCCGCAGGTGGTGTTTAGATATTTACATATTTGCTTTATGTACTCTTAGTTTGCATCCTTTTGAGATAAGAACTGATTAGCTTTAGAATCTATTACATCTCCAAAAGATGTAGATTAAGCAACAGCTGCTTATCAATACTGATATATTAATTATGTGTATTATCGGAAACAAAAATTTGTTAAGACTTTTAATAAGAAAATATTTCAAAACACTATTTGTTGTAATAATTTATATCCAACTAAGCTTAATAACGAATAATTATAAAATTTATATTGGCTATTTAAATGATATAGATAGATAAATAAGATATTATTTTCTTCCTTTTTTCGAAGTCAATATTATAGTATCACATGAATACTTGACTACGTATATTTTCTGTTATAGGTTTGACTTTCGAAGGAAGATACGCTATTACATGAGTTGGATGTGATGTGACGTTACGATGACGCAACATTTGCAAAGAGAAGGAGTGTGCTTTAAAGCACGTTGCCTCGTTAATGTAATATCCTTCCTTCTCTTAATTCCATCCTTCTTCATATCTGAAATTCACGCCCAAGCAGCAGAATGTCCGCCATCCGAGTTAATTCCAGGATGCTCCTGTTACAACTTCGAAGATGGACTTTTTCTTGAATGCGTCGGCGCGTCAGAGGAAACATTGAGATTAACCCTACTTGGTGTTATGAATTCAGCAGGCTAGTTGAATTCTTTAATTTACCGATAATTATCTTCGAAAATGTATCTATTAAATAATCATAAATAATTCATAAAAATAATGACTAACCATTATTTCAAATATTTATATTTAATAATGAAATAATATTAAGGGGAATTTTTAAGTTTTTTTAAAAGTTGTCAATCACAAAATTAATTCCAACATAAAAATATTAAATATATAAAACATTGATTAAAATTTGTATTGTTCTTTACTTTTAATATATAACATTCTGGCTAATTAATAAACGATTAATTGACGATTCTATACAGAATTAAAGATAAAAATTAATATTTATTTTTAATGTTTTATGAAGTTTTTCGTATAACAAAATATGAATTTCATTAAATGAAAATTAAAAACTTGCAGTTAATCGTGAGTTAATTATATAATAACCATACAAATAATACAAATAAATACTTTTTCGATTCCATACTTATTTCAATAACAATTATAATAAATGTATAAATACTTTATTTACTTTTATAAAATTAATTATTCATACGATAATATTTAATATTTAATTTTGCATTAAATTTCTATCCAATTACAATATAAAAAAAAAATTTGGTTCAAGAAATATTAACATAACAGTCTTTAATAATAATTATAAATTTTGAATTTCAATAATTCTATTAAGATATAATAAATTTCTTGTTATTTTATTTGTATTATGCTCAAATAATACTATACTAACGCACCTATATTGTTTTAGGAGAAGATGCATTTGTACAATCTCTTAGTATCTACGAGCTAGATAAGATTATAGAAGAATTAAAGGAAAGTGCATTTCCCGCAGGTTCGCAGATCGGGCATCTGCAAATTTCTCATTCGTCGCTGCGCGACATTAGTGAATCTGCCTTTAAAAATTTAAAAAATAGTTTGGAATCACTAGCATTAATTTCCGGTCGTTTGACTCAAGTTCCACAAAAAGCTCTTGCAGAACTACATAAACTGGCGGCCTTGGATCTCGAGGCTAATATAATCCAGGATCTTTCATCATATTGCTTCTATGGGCTGAAATTAATGAAGCTTAGTCTTAAAGGAAATCAAATTTCTAAAATATCAGAGTATGCATTCGCTGGACTTGAGAATTACTTAACAGATCTAGATCTCACGGAGAATAAACTTAAACTCTTTCCAATGACATCATTAAGGCGACTTGAGAGTCTGGATTCATTAAGACTTGCTTGGAATGAGATATCAGAATTGCCAAACGATGGATACTCATTATTAAACTCCTTACTTATTTTAGATTTGAGCAGTAATAATTTTGATAAACTCGGTGAAAATTGTTTTAGGCCATGCCCAATTGTACAAACTTTGTCACTTTACTATAATAATATTGAAGATGTTGATAAAAATGCTTTCATATCATTGAAAGATCTCGAGTCTATTGATCTCAGTCATAATAAAATAGTATTCCTTGATGCCACTACATTTAAAGCCAACGAACGTCTGCGTACAATTGAACTTAGTCATAATCATATACATTATATTGGTGGAGTTTTCGCAGGACTGCCAGAGTTAAGAGAACTTTACCTAGCCGAAAATAATATTCTTGAAATTCCAAGTGATGCATTTATAGGAAGCATTAGTTTGAGTGTGGCTTACTTTCAACAAAATGCAATACGCAGAATTGATGGAAAAGGTCTTGCGAGTCTCAATCAGCTTGAGCAATTACATTTAACCAACAATTACATTGAAAAGATTCCCACAGAATTCTTCAAATATTGTGATAAACTTACTTCCTTGTCATTAGATGGTAATAAGATACAAGAATTGCATGTTGGTACTTTTTCAAAATTAGAAAAACTACGAGAGCTACGATTACAGGATAATCAAATTAATGAAGTAAAACGTGGTGTATTTTCACCGCTGCCGGCACTCCAAGAACTTCATTTACAGAATAATGCAATTGTTAATATTGAAACGGGTGCATTAAGTACATTGAGCAGCTTACAACATGTTAATCTCCAAGGAAATCAGCTGACAGTGTTAGGTGACGTTTTTCAATTGTCATCGGACACATTATCAAGTGGTAGTTCATTAGTCTCTATTCAGTTGGACAGCAATGGATTTGCCATATTACATAACAATTCATTGCGCGGCCAAGCTTCTGTAAGAATCATGTGGTTAGGCCATAATAAATTGACGCATTTGCAAGCACCACTGTTCCGTGATTTGTTACTGGTCGAGCGTCTTTATTTAACGAATAACTCTATATCAAAAATTGAAGATGCTGCATTCCAACCAATGCAGGCACTGAAATTTCTTGAGCTAAGTATGAATAAATTAAGTCACGTGACAGATCGTACCTTTTCCGAGCTGCATGAGCTTGAAGAACTGTATCTTCAAGATAATGGCTTGCAAAAACTTGATCCATATTCCTTAACAGCGTTGAAAAAACTAAAAGTCTTAGATTTAGCAAACAATCAGTTAACAGTTTTACAGGATGCTGTATTTCAAAAGGGATTGCCAATTCGTAAATTAAATTTAAAAAACTGTTCCATTCAAACGATAGAGAATGAAGCATTTTTAGGTCTCGTGGAGCTAATAGATCTTAATTTAGAAAATAATCAGCTAACCGCCCCAGCTCTTCAAAGACTTCAAATTTCAGGATTACAGATTCTTACAGCTTCTGGAAATAATTTTAGTCAGCTGTCGGAACACAGCTTCAATGGATTACCCGCGCTGCAGCAGCTTATATTAGACGATGTACAAATTTCTCAAATGTCCGAAAATATTTTCGTTTTAAATGTGAACTTGGCAAAACTTCATTTAAATCATAACTATCTACGTACATTACCACCTGGTATTTTCAATAATTTATTAGCACTGCGAGAATTGCGTGCTGATTATAATAAACTCATCGGTCTTCCATATTCAGCTCTTGCAAGTTCGAAGAATTTAGAAATTTTATCCTTATCGCATAATAATATAGCAACTGTAGATGTTGCTAGCTTATCAGGATTAAAGAATTTACGAGAAATTGATTTAAGCCATAATAAAATTGAATCAATGTCTGGATTTGCATTGGCGAATCTTTCTCGCTTATTTTCAGTCGATTTAAGCCATAATAATTTAAATGCACTACCTGTAAATTTTTTTACTCACTCATCGATGTTACGACGAATTGATCTCTCAGAAAATAAATTCAAACAGATTCCTGCCATCGCTCTATCTGGACAAAATCTCCCCGGATTAACATGGCTAAATTTAACAAAAAATCCCTTAAGTAAAATACACGAAATACCTTCGGAATCAATGTATCCTCTATTACAAGAGATACACATATCAGGTACTAATTTATCCATACTTACGTCGCAGGATTTCGAAGCTTTTCCTGCGCTTCAGTATCTTTTCATAAGTCAAAATAGTATTTCTCGAGTATCACCTGGCGTATTTCGTAGTCTACCGAATCTATTAACCCTTCATCTTGGAATGAATACTCTTGATATTTTACCTCAAGAGCGGCTTCAAGGACTGGAGCATCTGCGCATACTCAATCTTACTCATAATCGTTTAAAGGAACTGGAGGAATTTCCAGAGGACTTAAAAGCATTACAGATACTAGATCTCTCTTTCAATCAGATCGGTACAGTCGGCAAAGTAACATTCAAGAATTTGGTCAATTTAGTCGAGCTTCATCTTTATGGAAACTGGATCAATACGATTTCGAGTGAAGCATTTCGTCCTTTGAAGAAACTTCGACTCCTTGATCTTAGTAGAAATTACTTGGAGAATCTACCATTGAATGCTTTTCGACCTCTAGAGACACAGATACGAAGCCTTCGAGCTGAAGGCAAGTAAAATATATTCTCGTCTTTGACGGAGAAATATTTTTTAATTAATTTTTTTCTTCATTAGTCTAATTTTACTTTCAACCATTGTTAACAAACCATTGGATAATACTTCTTATAGATAATTTATTTATTTTTTTTTTAGAAAATTTTTTTATCTAAGTCTCTTTGTGCTTTTACGTAATAATATTTACTTATGCATAAATAAATATCGAATTTAGTTAAACACCTGTTATGAAATTATTATTTTATCAATTACATTAAAGATTAATTTGTGATATTGATAACTCTGTTTAAATTGATAAATGAATTTATCATAGAGTAATATAAAAAAAATAATAATAATAAAAAAAAACAAGCGATTGTTTCGTAAAAAATATTAAAAATTATTTTGAAATTTTAACAAAATTATTTAATTGACAAAAAGGTTTTCATGACCTATATTCATATATTTCGATATTTTATATTTTTGTTTATCAATTATAGAAAATCCTTTGAACTGCGGATGCGAATCTCAAGAGCTTTGGGAGTGGCTGCGAGACCATCAGAAACTAGTTGGCGGGGTAGGTCGAGGTCGCGGTAAAAGCAGCGTAGGAATAAATGATGTTGAAGGAGGTTTGTTAAGATGTGAGCAGCCGCCTGAGCTTCGAGGTTTAGTATTTCTCGATCTGGATCCTCATGCATTCTGCTCAGCGCCATTAGTACTAAAGCTGGCTATTCAAGATATCCAGCCTTTTTCTGTTCTCGTTTCTTGGCAGAGCAGAAATCATTCTGGGTTACATGGATATCAAGTTGCATATCACGCTTTGGGTAACGTAGATGAAGTAAGTGATGTTTCAAAACTATAAATTCACGAATTGTCTTAGGCTTTTAATTAGATGGACAAAGTAATTGGAATATTTTCAAAAAATGAATGTATCTTATAGTACAATATCTTAAATAATTGAATAGATAATATAATTATAATACAATTGACGCGTATAATTGTATACGATTAACGGAAAAACATTACCAACTAAAAGAATACATTCCAGTTGAATGTATTATAATGTTTGCATTTCTTTTCAATAATTTTGAATTACTGAGTTCTGCACAAATAATGTTCTAAATTGAATTCAGCATTAATAAAAACGTATTAAATTGTTACATTCGATATTTTTGAAAATTGGTCCATGAATATTTTTATTTAGCTAGAGTTAGAATTTTAACTCTAAGTGAAAATCTATGCTGCAAAAAATTTGAAGAAATTAAAATAAATTTTAGTATTTATTCAGATACATTACAATATTTTATTATAAAATATAATTATATAATAAAATGCAATTTTTAAATTAAATATAAATCACTGTAACTTTTATATTTAAAGTTTGTGCCCATATTTATAATACAATCACCGTAAATACTATCGTAAATAATTATTTTCTAAATTATCATTAATTTTCAAATTGTAACTTGCGTTTGCTCATTAATCTTGTAAAGAATTAAAGATATTTTTATAATATATCATAATTTAGTACTACGAAATTAGTGTTACAAAAAATAAAAGAAAAAATACAATTGTTCCAAACGTATATTTTGTGATTCTTTAAAAATTAACGTCTGCTACGTGAGCTATTATTTATGATCCCAAGAAAGATTTATATTTTTTGTAAAATTTTGATTTATAAATTATTTTTTACTTTTAAGAACGGTTGGTTAAAAATATTCTATATAAAATAACATATAATTTATATGATAGTTTATATAATATTTATATAGTATATAATTTGTTTTCAAATATTTTGATTTAATAATGAAAATAAAGTTTGTTGAAATTTCTATTTATAGTTAATTAAAAATATTTTTAGAATTTTTTCTGCAGTAAAAGTAAATTATCATTCAAAGTACATTGCCTAAGCATACAAATTTTACATGAGTATATAATAGTCATATAACATTGAAAAATGTTTCATTTTTAAATAAGAATTGTTCATTTTTCTGTGAATATTTATTTTTTGAAAGCTATTATTTTTCGGTGAATTGGGATTGTTTTATTTTCTTGTAAAAATAAAATTTTAGTTTATAATAAAGGTTATATTAGGATTAAGTGAATATAAAATATACTAAGTTCTATTCAACTGTACTACTGAGAATATGATGCATTATGTAATTTATAACTTTAGGAATGTTGTGATTTATAATTCAAATTTATTCAATATTATCCATATGTAAACTACAGCGTACCGAATCTTTATGATACAATCATCAATATTTCTTACCTTATTTCTCTTTTTATAATTCAAAAATTTTTTATAGGTAATTTTATCAACTTTATTAATAAGATAAAATTTTACAACACTGACACAATGCATATGAACTTTTCTTTAAAGTATAATTTCTGTCCGATTTTTTTATTGTTAAAATAAATCTACATGAAATATTACATCTTTAATGAATGTGATTATGCATAAAGAATTAGCTTTTAAGTAGCAAATGCTTTAAAGCAATTTTCTACGTGCAATACAAAAGAAAAATATATATTATGCATCATATAATGAATATATAAAATGCAAATTCATATAATGAAAAGTATAATATACAACTTTTTTCAAGATTTATGAGTGAATCAAAAACACTTGTTTCACATAAAATTAATAATACTCATACATCAAATACAATTATACGAACACGTTAAAATGGTCTCTTACGATTTATAATAATACTATATGTAATGTTTTGGTTTGCTTTTTAATTTTATTTTTCATTTAGCCTTTACTAACTTATCCACTACAAAAATTGGTTTTTCAAAACAAAAAAAATAAAGAAAAAAAATTAAAAAATAAAGCCATTCTCGAGCCAGTGTCTTTTACAAGTTCATCGGGTATTCATTGAATTACATTGATATATATATATATATATATATATCGATTAACATTAACTTCTTTATTTATCGCAATATTATGCTAAAAATCAATTAAAATATTAAATAAGATGTTTTTTTATATGATAGCGACAGCAAAATTATTATCGTTATTTTAAAACTATAACATTAATGATATTTTTAAAAATTCTTAAAAGCCTTGAATTTCATCTGAAATGGGAATTAAATGATAATTTCTGCCATCAAAGTATCCAGACACGCTGAAGTAATTATTACTAATTACACAAAATATATTGATCGCCATTCAGACACAACACGCACACACTCACGCACGTGAAAGACATGGCATAAAGAGTATACCGCTCCAAAAAAAAAGCTTCATATCAATAGGCTTTTCATATATATATTTCTTCTGCCGTCCATATGAAACGCAAATTAAACAATAGAAGAATTATAGAGAAATTGCAAAAACATGTGTTGCAGGTGCGCGGGAAGCTCTTGGATCCGAAAGCTCGTTCAGTGCGGCTGACGAAGCTCGTCCCTGATACACGCTATCTTATCTGTGTGCTGGGCCTCGGCAGCTGGGGCACGCCCATCCCTGAGGACATCAACAACTGGCAGTGGAACGCTTCGCAGGACGACGTAATCGAAGGTTCGGCACATCCAGTGATGGTTAACTCGGCAATGAGTCGCTGTACCGAAGTGCGCACCCTTGAAGCTCCCAGTTCAGTAGTGGAGGATGGGGCTCTAGGCGATAGAGGCAGCCTCGCCAGTATCCTCACCCGACGCCTCGGTCTTATCGTTGGCAGCTGCATGGGCTTCGTTGTATTCGTCGTGCTTATATCCGTGCTCGGCTACATGAAAATGAAAAAGCAGCGCGCGGCTGTCAAAAGGGAGCAACCTCTAGCTCCAAATCCGCCCGAATACATGTCTTATCGGCACTTCTCGCTGCAGAGCGGCGATCGCCCGGACAACACCTGCCCGAGCTTTATCAGCAACATCGGCACTACTGCCCTCAATTCGTAGCACAAGCCCAACGAGTCCTGCGATGACGAGCAGGACATTGAGCTCAAGAGCGTCTCAGCGGGTAGGACCATCTTTGCCTGATTCGGACACAGACAAGTGAATTGTCAAGGTTTAGAGAGTGGCGCGTAGTGGGGCGGAGTGAACGATGAACGATGATACGACTGACGGTAAACGGGCGGGCAGGGTCGTATGAGTCGGGAAAGTGCGGACAAGGACTGGTATAAGCACGGAGTGTGAGAAGAATTTCGAATTATCGGATGATAAAAGAGGGTGCACAAAATACGAGCAACGATGCGATAAATTTTCACTATATAATTTAATGATTATTCACGGTATCGAATACGATCCATTTCTCGAAGACTGATTTTCTAAAGCGTTTTCTTTTCTTTTTAAGCTTAAGGTTATTATTATTATTATTATTATTATTATTATTATATATATATATATATATATATATATATATATTTACATTGTAAAAAATAAGGAACTGTAATGAGAGTGGCAAATGTTTTATACGCCTTAAGAAAAACCACGAAGTTGTATAATGCACGTGTATATCTATATAGCGCGAAAATATTACAAAGGAATTTTATCGTTATAAAGCGGGCTGAGGTGACCGAGACAAACGATATTTGACAACGTGGCGTAATTCCTGCCAAGATAGCCGTTAAAACTTATTTAATGTATTCAAACGTAACACGTGAAACAAATTCTTGTGATTAAGAAATTTGTAAAGTTAAACTAACCGCAAAGCGTTAATAATGTGACTATTCTAATGTAGTACACTGGTTATCATGCGCTTAAGAGATTTTATTAGTAATAAAAGTGTATTTGTGATCGCGACTTGCGATTAAAACAATTTATGTAAATAGATAGACAAGAGAAAAGGTATAAAAACAAATAATGGAATCCGGTTAATAAAAAGTGATGGTAAACGAAGCACTGTCAATTTAGTAACCCACATTGAATGTCCTTGATCTCCACCCTAGATTTTACATTCTATTTAGCAGTAAATCTCCTTTCAATCCAGTTTACGTAAGCTCCACTTAATCGTAGTAAATCTCTCTTAATAAATGAATTAATTAATTATAATCAGAGATTAGCTTCAGTTAACTTAGAAATCTCTGAGGTTTAATTTGACGGCATAATTCGTCTTACCCTATCCTTTTAAGTACTTGCGTAAGTGTCAATAAATCAGCCAAATTCGTTCACACCTGATCACCATGCAAATTTCACACATTATTTTAATTACATTCCAAAGCAGCATTCTTTTAAGACCTTACATTGTACGCGTATTTTCATTTTATTTATTTATTCCTTTTTATTAAAAAAAAAAAGAAAGAAAATAAAAGACTTTTAATTAAGGTCAACGGGGATTGCGATAAAGTATTAAAAAAATAGTACAAGTTCAGATCAATAGACAGTACTCACGATGCAATTAGGATAGCAAGAGGTGAGGACAATAATTAATTCTTGGAGTTTCGTTAACAGTCGCAGACCTGTCTGTACTGAAAGTGCTTAACTACATACATGTATTTTCTCGTTATCCCTCCCAAATCCCTTTCTTCCCTTCGTCTGGTACTACCGCCCTATATACCGCCCCTATCCTTCCTTCCTCCTTGCATTTGTCACTCAAGCATTTCCTTCATTGCAAATGAATTTTTTTGATACGAATATATTAATAACAGGTATTTTTATGTAGAAATGCCGAGAAAGTTTTTTAATACTTTCTTAATTATCATAAGTTATTCACGGCCCAAGAAAATTTATTTATAATTTCTAGGTTAATTTGTCTTTTATATTTCTTACTATGTAAAAGTAAAGTAAAGCTATTGATAATGTACAATAATATTATAGTTTTTCTATGCTTTTATTTTAAAAGATTATGGGATTAAAATATCACCTACAAATAGTCAGAAACTAAAATTTAATTCTTGTAATATTTCAATTTAAAATAATATTGATTTTTAATGAAACTGGCTGAATTTTTAATAAACACTAGATAATATGCATGTTATATATAAAAGTTTACGTCTATACAGAAATATTAAATTGGTATTCAAAAATTCTTATTTTACTTAAATGATTTAAACGTTTAAAATTAATAACAGCTAGTATTGGCTAAAAAAAAACTTTAGAATCAATATATTTATATATATATATATATAAATTTCATAATTTATTTTACTATAATTTTATTAAAGACTTTAGACCTTATTGACAAAAAAAATTTAATTATAATTATAAACATTCGGCGTTTCCTTAACTAAACTAAATTGTCCACAGTAAAAATACGAAGAAATATTAAATCTCAACTGAGACCTGTAATGGTAAAAAAAAAGTAATTATATCGATTAATGTTATAACATGGTAAAACTTCAAATAATTAATTTAAAAACTACTTTTAACTGAAGAATTTTCATTTTATTTTTATTACGTTACAACTCTCTACATTTTACAGAACTGTAAGTATAATTATATATATATATATATATATATATATATATATATATATATATATATATATATATGTACGATACGTATCGTAAACAATGATTAATGTTGAAATGCTCAATGGAAAAAATATTGATTTTCATTCAATGAAGTAATTTAATTTTATATTTACTTAGATAAAAGTGCAATATGCCAAGCTTATTTTATATTTATTTTATCTTATAAAATTAAATTAATAAGAACAAACCAATATTTAATATTCCAAAACTTATAAATTTATTTAAATGATTTATATTTTAAAAAAATTGAATAAAGCACTTGCCATGCATTAAAAAAGTATTAAATATTAAATGCCTTGAAGGCTGCAAATATATTTTACAAACTAAAAGAAACTTTTAACCACAATGTGTCAAATACAGAATGAGAAAGAGTAGTGAAAATAAATGCTCTTCCATTCCGTGAAAACGCGAACAGTTATCGCTTGAACATTAGGCATAAAATTCATAGTTCCGCATTTTCTCCGATATAACTGTAATTTTACTGTAAATATGTGCGTTTATGAAACAAAGCTTGATTGACAAAGAAGAATAAAGAATGGGAATAAAATAACGGCACGGAGCAAGAGTCGAGGATGCAAGTGCGATATGTACCACCAAAGAAGAGATAGAAAATAAAAAAGAGCTTGCTTTCCGTGCGAATAATCATTAATACAAGAGAACGCACGCCGCCCTTTAATGGCTACTAGAACAGTTGGCTGAGCGTTCTCACTCCTTCTCTCTAAACTCTCCTTCTCTTACTTTCCTATAGCCTGCATCACCGACAAGAGAATTTGTGCGCAGGAAGCAATTCTATTAGGGCTACTAACCAACCCTACGCCTTTGGCTTCACACATATAAGCGACTGAATCTACCGCCCTAGTACTTCCGTAAACACGGGAACCGTGTTTCAAGTTCTCTCCCTCCTTCTCTTTCTCTCTCTCTCTCTCTCTCTCTCTCTCTCTATTACTCGCTCTTGTAGCAAATTCAACTATAATAATATCGCACGTCGGCAGAGCTCGAGGAGCAATTTCCAAAATATATTCATGCCGAAGAAACCCCACAAGCACAGATTTCTTTTTCTTTCATTGCTCCGAATTTAGCGCAGTCATACGTGAGCACACGGCTGGAGCATTTTTCAACGACGAATTAAAATTTTAGAGGCTCTCCATTTTCAAATTATTATTTATTATCCGATGACATTAAAATGTATCACATTTGTTTTATGACAAAAATATTTTTCGCAAATAAAAATAACGGGTACACAAACTACAAAGCTAAGCAAGGAAGAACTTTGTTTGCAATAATGCTTAAGCTTTTAAAACTTTTCACCCTACTCTTCTGTTGACAAAGAATTATTTTATTTATTTCTTCAAACAAATGTAAATCTTTGTATTTTTCTGAAAAATATATCATTCGCATTAAGCGAACTACATAAAAAAAATAGTTTTTCGAACGAGAAAAATATATCGATTATTTGTCAATTTTAATACAACTATGGGTTATGAATAGTAAAATAAATGCATGTCACATAATAATAAAGAAAATGATAATAGTCAATTTCTAGTCAGAATTTTATATTTTATGTAAAATTTATTGAAAAAAATACTGGTTTTATAAAAAAATTAATATAAATGCTATTATGGATCGTAACTAAAGTAAATTCTATCCTTATAATTTTATAACTTTTCTAATCAGTGGAATATCATTAATCTCACATAATTGCTTTACTAATAAAGGTGAATTTCAAAGCAAATGCATTCAATTGGAATTAGTTTTAAAATGACTGATAATTAAATTTAATTTATTAAATGAATAAAAAACTTTTATATTTTGTATAAATAACAAAATTAATAAATAATTCAAATTTTACTACTTCAATTTTATTGTTAATTTTAACGGATTTCTCATTATTATAGATAAATACATTATAAATAATTTTGTCGCCTTTTTATATTCTTTATATTTAGTTAATTATAAATAATTATAATTTTTTTTATCAACCAATACAATTTCAATTGTAGCATATGAATCTTTTTAAAATAAAACACTCTTTTATAATTATCAAGGAAATTTTTATAACGATTTTTATTGTAAATTATATTATTAATTATCTTTTATACAAACAATGCTTCTATCCATTTCACTTACATTGTTTAGAATTATAGTATCAGAATTTTAATTATAATACGTAATATTTAAGTTATTACATAAATTAATCAGAATTATAAAATTATATTTATTATTTATGTTTAAATTGTACTCTAATTTCATCTTTCATAAAACTTGATTAGACATAAAATGAAATAGAGCTACACGAAACAACACTTTCATGTTTTGATGTAATATTTGGAAATATTTTCAATATTCCATTTAAATGTATAATATACTTTAAAAAATTCTTTGAATAAACAAATAAAATTATTCTCATAAAAACAAAATACAATATTTATGCAATAAAAATACCAATTACTCATTCAATGAAATGATTATATGATTACTTATAGAGTTATACATTTTACAAACTCTAAAAATAAAATCTAATATCAATAGTATATTTGGTTATTGAAAATAAAAATATTTTACTTTTACATTTTCAAATAAAT